AGCTGATTCCAGGAACCCAAGTGGAAAGCGAATTTTGAGAATGATGAGGGCAATGAATGTATAAGTGTGCTCTACACAATTGATGTATATATGGATTGTGATAAGAGTTGTATGAGCCCCTAATAAAATTATTTTTAACAAAAGAAAATGGTGGCAGTAATGAGCAATTAAAGAAAAATGTGCATAGAATGTGATGACAAATATGTTGCTAGATGAGCCAGTTTGATAGTTCATTCAATCAATGTTTCTGTTTTCTTCCAAAGGGCTCGCCTCTCTCAATGGCCTTAGGAAACCATAGCACCATCACTGAGTTTCTCCTCCTTGGGCTGCCTGCTGGCCATCACACCCAGAGTCTACTCTTCATGCTTTTTCTGGTGATTTACTTTCTGACCCTATCAGGGAACATACTGATGATCATGGTTATCAGAGTCAGTTCCCACCTCCACACCCCCATGTACTTCTTCTTGAGTCAACTGTCCTTCTTGGATCTCTGTTACTCTTCAGTTACAGTACCCAAGATGCTGGAGAACCTCCTGTCTGAGAAGAAAACCATCTCAGTGGAGGACTGCTTGACCCAAGCCTTCTTTGTTCTTGACTCTGGAGGAACAGAGCTCTGCCTTCTTGCAGTAATGGCCTATGACCGCTATGCTGCTGTCTGCTACCCATTGATTTATGGTCAAATAATGAGCAACCAGCTCTGTGTGAGGCTGGTGTGGGCATCCTGGGTGCTGGCCTTTTTGGATGCTCTCATCAACACACTTCTAGCTTGGAATTTGGATTTCTGCGAGACTAAAGTCATCCCCAACTTCAGCTGTGAGATACCGTCTCTATTCCCTCTATCCTGCTCCAATAGCTCTATTAACTTTGCAGTCCTGCTCTGTTCAGCCCTCCTTCATGCCTTTGGGACCTTCCTCCTGGTGTTCTTCTCCTATGCCCGCATTGTCTCCACCATCTTGAGCATAAGCTCCAGCACAGGCAGAAGCAAGGCCTTCTCCACCTGCTCCTCGCACCTCACTGCAGTGAGCTTATTTTATGGCTCAGGTTTTCTTCGTTATCTTATGCCTACATCAGGTTCCCCATGGGAGCTCATCTTTTCCTTGCAGTACAGTGTGGTCACTCCCCTCGTGAATCCCCTTGTCTACAGCCTAAAGAACAAAGAAGTTAAAGCAGCTCTGAAAACCATGCTACGGAAAAGTTTGCAGCATCTCAGGTAGGAGAGAAAAGGCAGGAAAATGATTGGGAAATGGCAGAATTGCAGCAATGTAACTCAGTAGTAGACATTAAGGAAGAATTTTGATGGCTCAAGATATCAGATATGACCAAATATGTTATAGACCCATGTAGTAGGGCCTTTTAGTAGCATAGGAAAATAGCAGCAAAGTATTTGTTTCATATATTTCACTTCATATACTGTACTTCAGTTTTTTTCATTTGGTTCATATTTTACTTATTTTTATATGCAGACAATGCATCGGATAACTATATATTAGGTTACTATGAATAGGAATAAGCTTGATAGCTATGAATTTAGTCTGGTTTGTTTGTGAAATACACTAAATGCTTAGCAGTGAGGAAATGGGCTATTTTTATGTGGACTCAAGTGGGCACACAGTTAAGAGTAACGCTTTGCTAGGAAGTAAAGACCTAACGTCTCTACAGGGAAAATGAAATCGACCTGAGATTCAGGAAGGAGTGAGAAGGACATGGG